AACACACACACACACACACCCCACACACACACACACACACACACACACACACACACACACACACACACACACACACACACACACACACACTCTCTCTCTCTCTCTCTCTCTCTCTCTCTCTCTCTCTCTCTCTCTCTCTCTCTCTCTCTCTCTCTCTCTCTCTCTCTCTCTCTTTCTCTTTCTCTTTCTCTTTCTCTTTCTCTCTCTTTTTCTCTCTTTTTCTCTCTCTTTCTCTCTCTATATCTCTCTCTATCTCATATATAGCTCTATACATATCTGTATATATACATATATATACATATATGTATATATATGTATATGCATGCACATATTCATGTATAGATATATACATATATGTATGTATGTATGTATGTATGTATATGTGTGTATATATACATATATATATATTTATTTATACACATGCACGTACACATAGACATAAACATACACATACACATATACATGTCTACATATATATATATATATATATATATATATATATATATATATATATGTATGTATGTATGTATGTATGTATGTATGTATGTATGTATGTATGTATATATATATATATATATATATATATATATATATATATATATATATATATATATATATATATATATATGATCTGTGACCACTTAGTATTCAAGCTCTCCCTCCTCCACTCCCCACAGCCTGAAAGCAGAGTGGCTGTACTCACAGGGCAAAGGGCGTGGCTTCCAGGTTGGAGAGCATGCAGCACTTGTCCACTACCTCTCAGGTGTGTGCCTGGCGGGAGGGGGCTGGGGAGGAGCCGACCTCCCAGATGATGATGACAAGTTGGCTAAGATTCTCCAGCTGGCTAAGCAGCACCAGCATGACCTGCGACATGCAGTTAATGGACAGGATAACAGGTGATTGCTTTGTTGATATTTTGATGGTATGGCTGCTTTTCTTTCTTTTTGTTGCTCAATCTGTCTTTCTATCTGTTGTTAGTTTGTGAGGGGATTGTTATATGAGCTTATGGAAAATGCAGTGCCCTCACCCACTTTGTCCTGCAGCTGCAAATATCAAATTTTCAGTTTTTCTCAAGGGAAAATATAATGCTTTTTGTTTGAAGAGCTTGGTTTTACACACAGGAGAAAAAAATCTTTGCTTTAAAATCAGATAGTTACTGAACTATTGATCATCAAAGTTGAAAATGTTATCCCTTGTGTATGAATGAAAATGGGAAATACTTATTAACCCAATGTTGTCGAAGAAAATGAACAGAAAATGGAGAAAATGCTGTGCCTATTTTCTGTATTTTTGTGAAATGTTTGCCCATAGATGGCTCTGCTAGTGCCTGATTTGAAATAGCGGGAAAAACATACTTTTCACTAGTGCTATGAATATCGATGGTATTATTTTTATTATAAACATTATAATTATTCTATTGTTTTTAACATTAGTAAAGCAAAATAAGATAATGTCAAATATTTTGTAAATCAAAGAAAAGGGTAAACGGGCGAGACAGGCAGTAGTCATAACTGGCTCATTGGTGATTTAGTATAAGTTTAGCCATCTGTGTGTAAAACAATCAAACGTACACGTCATACCTATTGGCTTTGGGTTAATGCATTCGGCACAGAGAGCAAGAATACATTCCATGTCAACTATAAAATAAGTTTATTTATTGTAGGCCTAATTACACATAGATGGCTCTATAAATGCTTAGTCACGAAGGAGTCAGTTATTAGTCCTACCTATCTCACATGTTTACCCTTTAGCTTGACTTTTGGGGAGGGCCTTTTGTATTATTTCATTGTCTTAACCCAATGACGCCAGGTGTACAAAAGGAAAAAAAAACTCTACGCTCTGGCAAACAAAGGCGGCGCGCCGACTTTGAGCGCCGGAGTACGGGGCGTCAGCCCGAATCACTGGCTCGCCGCGCGCGCCGCCGGCTGGTTTGGCCGCACGCCAGCTTTCGAGCGATTTGTTTACACGCGTATCGCCGTCACCCGGCGGCAAGGGGTTAAATGTTATCAAGATTTTGATAACAATTTGATAATCATAACATCGATAACAATAATAACAGTATCGATATTAATTGTATTAAAATGGAAAACACATTTTCCCACCAATTCAAGGAATGGGGAAATCAGGATTGGTCACTAGGACCTCATGATAGACTCCTTCCTGGCTGAGCACATGTGGAGCCATCTGTATGTAACAAAATTCCCAAAAAACTACAGGGGGCAGAACATAAATCTGTGGTGGTCGTAGATAAAATATATATGCTGCAACAAGACATCTACTCATCATAAGTTATAAAGTAGTAAGCCATGTTTAGTTAGATGAGGGGAAAAGGACAAAATTGTCATAAAGATAAATCTTATTTCGCTTGGGGAAAATACTAGAAGAAAGATGTAAACACAAGGTAAAATGTAGCAACCTTCATTTTCTGACACTGTAGATAAGTTTGGTATTATTTCTGTAGCAGTGTAGGTTTGGTATTATTATAAGTATTATGATCACTCTTTAATTCACAGTGCAGTGGTATAAAGAATGTTTATAAACCCATTTTGCATGGATGGCAAGAATACATGTCATGCCCACTTTAATATAAGTTAATTTATTGTATTTACACATAGGTGACTCTACAAGTGCTTAGTCACTAAGTCAGTTATTAGTCCTACCTATTTTACCAGTTTACCCTTTTCCTTGTTTTTTGGAAAATTTCTTTTGTATTATTTCATTGTCTATATTGTGACCAAGATTTTAATAACAATTTAATAATCATAATATGAATAAGAATAAAAACATCAATATCAACAGTATTAGGAAGAAAAACACATTTTCCCACAATTACAAAGACTGGGGAAATCAGGAGTCTAGAGTCTACTGATTGACTCCTTGCTGGCTGAGGGCATGTGGAGCCATCTGTATGTGACAAAATTCACAAAAAAACTACAGGAGACGGTACATAAATCTGTAGTAAATGGGATAAATATGTTGAATGCTTCTAAAATTAATTTTATTATCAAGATAGTAAGACTTGTGAGTGGAATGAAATTATCATTGCCATCAAGATTCATCATTCCATCATTGGTTCTGGATCATCTTATGTGGAGACTGTTTACTCATATGACTTCCTCTCCAAATATGATCTTCATAATGCTTGTGAACAGTTATCACTTTACTGATAGAGAACCTCTGGGGGAATACATCACAGATATGACAGACTTCCTGAAAATTTTGGGGGGTAACAGAAAACAGAAGTCTGTGACAGTCACCAAAATATTTTTGGCACCTGTATTACACCACATGATTTATTTACATGTAAAGGTTGTGATAAAGTTCATACCCTAAACTGTGTTAAGCAATTAATTTTCAGATATATTTTATTAATCTTTTATGTGTTAGAGAGTTGTTTTTCATATCCCCCCCAAAACTGTGTTCTTCCCCATAGCTGACTTTTTTATATGCATACATAAAATTCAAAAAGAAAAAAGTTTTGCATATAGCTTAGCCCCAACAAGGATATTTACAGTATGAAGGGAAAATAGATGGAAGAAGCTACCCAGACTGAAGTCTCCGTGGGATAGCTGGAGGTATTGGTTGTTGATGGGTGGAGGATTGTTCTCTGATCTTGAGGTTGGAAGGAAAATGTCAGATAGTACCAGTTATACTAGGTTACACTCACTACATTCCATTTGCCCTAAAGGAGAAAAGGGGGAACAACCCAAGTTTTTAAAAAGGATGCTCAATAGAGCTGCATTTACATTTGCTCAATAGAGGCAGCTTGCACTTTAGAGGTTAATATTTTACATGTCTTTCATCTCTCTCACATTTAAATTACCATGCATAAGTTGATACAGTTCATACATTTTGAAATAATTTTGCTTAAATGATATGGATATGAAAATGCTGTTCTTTACAGTAAATGTGATTACTTTGTGATTGGTGGCATGTACATATATATGGCATGACTGGATTCCTTTCCAAGTGACATGTATACCCATGCCATATGTATTGATCCCACTCTAGGTTGTGTGCACTAAACATTTATTATCAACTAGCCTCTTAAAAGTAATTTTAAAGTCACCATTTAGTCTCATTCACTGGAAAATTGTATATTCTGCAACCAAAATTGTAGAGAGCAGGGAAATAAGTGTTTCCTGTGCTTTTATTATTTCTCAAGCAGATGACTGCTTATGGAATGTGAAGCATGATCCAATATTGTGTGTAACCATGTTTACAATTGTGAAAAGGTTCAAACCCAAAAGACTGCCCTTCTTACTACAGTTATCTCTGAATATTCATTTGCTATAAAGTGCATATACCATCTTTGCAGTTTTGAAGACTTCATGTTTTACATTTTTAAGGGAACAAAGTAATAGTGCATCTACTTCAGTTTATTGTAGTACATCCTATTCACCCTTCAGTAGAAGCTGGAAAGCAGCCTGCCAGTTTTTAAAAGCTGATACATAATGAAAGTGGCTCAGCCTTGGGGGTTAAGATAATAAGTGCAATACAGGTAAAACTTCATATCTGCAATAGTCTTTGCAAATACATCTATGAAGGGACTGTTTTACATAAAATCTCATCCTTAATGAATCCAAAAATTTCAAAGAAAGTAAAATTAATGTTGTGAGAGGTGTTGTCTTTTACAGTGAGTCATCCAGTGGACGAGGTAGCCGGTGCAGCAGCCACCATGACTCTCCTGCCATGCACAGACGCAGTGTCTCCAGGTCGACCTCCCTTAGACGAAACACGGGTCAGTCTTTCCTGTCTTTGCCCCAGTGTCTGCTATTTTAGTTTTTCTTGCTTGGCTGCAGTTGCTTGAATAATGAAGTTACCCATACTTGAACTCTTGGAGATAAGATTCAGGGAGAGAGAAAGGCATGGGAGGGTAATGGTTGGATTTGAGTGACTTTTCACATCTCTTTTGTCATTTTTTGTTCATATATTCTCTTGAGTCTGTAGAAATTCCTGCAGCATTTAAGTTATATTCACTGTTGCAATACCAAATGATTATGCACATTAAATGCCAATAGCATTGACAACATCGCAAATGTATGCCAGAACTTTGTAATTTGCTCTCTACAAGTATATATATCTGCATATCTGTGGATGATGAATGTTCCTCAACTTGGAACATGTTTGGTGAATATTCATTATAAGAAAAAAAATTATCAAGTACTTACTTTCTCATTTGTGGAAATGCAAATATTCATGTACATTTCAGATAATGTTTTGCAAGACTTTTCAAAAAGTTCATGCAAAGATAAGCACTTACGATATAAAAGATATCCAAGTAAGTGTTGGTGTGCTCTTGTGTTCTTTCAGGTTAAAGACAAAAATTGTTCAATGAATTATAAAGCAAAGACATGCTTTACCCTTGTGTTGCTGAAAAAGTCCTGGATCTTAGGCTGATTTTTAAACTTGAAAAATATGATGTTTGTTTGAAATAGTTTTGTTTTCCACATTTACATTTTGCCTGTAACCTTTTTAAAGGAACATTGAGATGTGAACTGGACATTACCAGACAAGTTCCATTACATCTATTTTTTATATAGCTATATGCTGTATGTGTGTATACAATTTAAATCATATTTTTTTTACATGACAACAAAAGATGTATGTTTATTATTCACTGCTTTGAAGGAAATTTAAGGTTTTTTGTATTTTGTAGCTTAACCTTCCTCTGTCCAAGCCTTTGTAGAAGTGAAGCTTGCTGTCTTAGTTCCTTTTGTTGTGATTCAAATCCAAAGCTTTATGATCAAAGTTCACAATATAATGAATTTTCCAATATGGAATTTGATGTGTTTGATATAGTCTTTGAATGTAGTACCCTTTTTGATGAATGCATGACTGTAAAATTCTCCTCTTCATTCTGTACATTAAGACTAGTGAAAAAATAAGAAATTGGTATTTATGTTTCCTGTCTCATGTAGAAACAACATCATACATGTAGATTCATTTAAATGCAATTACACATAGCAGTAGTTCTTTCTGTAAACATGAATTATCACTTGCCTTTTCTAGGAAGCTGTTATGTGCAGTCTTTTATAACTTTTAGCGGCAATGGATGTAAGGATTCTTAAGCTGTGATGTTATCATTTTGATAAATGTGGGGAAATGACATGCATTTGAATTATGGTAAATAGTTTCTCTTATATAGTGGAAAACAGTGAGATAATACTTGATAGATTGCAATTAGGCTAATAGGGTTCTGATTCACCCTTCCCTTTTATAAGGTCAATCTTAAAGGGCAGAAATGGGAGTATTTTCTAGACCATTATTATTAAAGTGGGTAGTATCTGGTCATTGCTCATTTTTACAATGTTTTCAGAATAGTTATCCACTCAAATTTGTGGTGATATATACAGTGTTTAACACACATATTTGCATATAAATTTATGGAGAGACTATGCAGACAGAAAGACATGTTGAAATTATTTGTAATGTGTGGACATTTTTCATTATTTTTCTATTAGTGATATATTTCTAGTTAGATAATGATTTTATTCAGTGATCTGTATTTGTGTTCTACATAAGTAGCTAGCACAGGAGTAGTGACTTCCACTTCCCCCACAGCCCCATCTCGCCCTGCCCCGGTGCGTGAGTGCCACCGCCGCACCCACTCTCACTCTGCTGCCACAAGGAGTGACTCAGGCTCACGTTCCCAGCAGAGCCAGTCATATCATGTAGAGCTGTCGAACACACTGTATGGGGGAGACCTACGCACACCTGACACCCCAAGCCTTATGACGCAGAGCATGGACCCAGCTATCCTGTCGCAGTTGGCTGGTAGTGGCCCCAGAGGGCAAGTGGACCCTATGTCACTGAGCCTAGGGGCAGAGCAGATGTCTCGATCGTTGGGCATAGATCCCATGTCCCGGTCAATGGGTGAAGAGGAGATGAAGCGTTGCCTGGAGATGGACCCTATGACACAGAGCCAGGGCCCAGAGCAGCTAGCTCGAAGCTTAGCACAACCTGAGCCCTGTGGTGGACTGATGACACGCAGCTTGGACCTAGGCCCGATGACCAATGGGGAGGCAGAGGTGTGGGGTGAGCGCACACTACTACCACCCACTGGCCACCCCAGGCCTACCAGCCTCTTTGGGGATGAGAAGGACCTGGTGCTGGAGGATGTGACAGCCCAAGGTACTCC